TTGCGGGGAGCCGCGGGGGCCTAAAGCAAAAACCCCCCCCCCCCCCAAAAAAAAAAAAAAAAGGCTTTTCGAACGGGGAGGGGGAAAGTGAAAGGATTTTATAAAAGCCATATGATTCGATTATTTCCTTCAGCATTTCCGTCCAGAAGAGTTTTGAGAGCAAACCCTGCTGAGGTCCTGGCTGCTGAGCCTGGTGCTGGGTTCTCCTGCCCTGCTAGGCCACGCCTGGGTCAGTGGGAGCCACAGCTCTTCCTGGCAGCCCCCCGCACCATGCTGTGGGACCAGTGACGTCCTGCCTGCCGAGAACCGTTCGGAGCCTGAGTTCCCTCGCTTGGAAGCTGCGGGTCTGAACCCTGCTCTACAGGGCTGGGGGAGGACTAAGAAGAACATGTATGTCGAGGCATGGAAACAGAAACGGGCTGGACGAATGCTACCCCTTCTCTCAGACGAGGCCAAGCCTGTCCATGCCATAGACCGTTTTGCATTTCACCAGAGAGGCGGGTGTCTGTTCTCACGAGCACTATTATTTACTCCCTTCCCTTCCTAAACAAGTTGAAGGTGGAGTGAGGATAAGCTCTGCTTTTCTCCTAGGCCAGAACAGCTGCCCACTCAGCCTTGACTGCTGGGGCGCTCTGGGCATCTGGACACACACCCTTCTAACTGGCTCCAAGGCAGCTGTTCTTCCCAGAGCGCTGTCTCTGCACTGGGAGCCGCGGGAGTGGACCTACATACACCATGTGCCCGGGAGGCACTGCACACCACCTCTTAATAAAACACAAGTCTCCTCTTAGAGCCCCATCACGGTTTTGTTTTTATGGTGCTGGTGGTGGTGGTGACAGGGCGACAGGTGGAGGCAGGGTTGATCAGGGGGTCTTATCATGCCCCGAGTCCCACTTCCTCACCTTGAAAACGCTCTTTCCAACACGGGGTTGTGCAGAGAACCTGCTGCTTCCATCTGGAAGTGGAAAGTTGGGAAACCCCCCTGCACCTACACGAGGCCTTGGTTAACTAGCAGCAGACTGGGCAGGAACGCAGCCCTCCCACAGCACTGACTAGGAGTGGACTCTGCTTATCAGAGCCCTTTTGAGAAGGTGAATTACTTCTGTGCACCCAGGAGCTCAGAAGAGAAAAGCCCCTTGGGGAACTCCCCTCACACATTCTCCTCCAGTGTGAACTGGGCAGATCTGAAGCCGAGAGGGGCGCACACGCGTCTCTGCTTGTCTCCTTCCACAGCGCTCCCTGCCGAACTGCACACCAGCTCGGGGGCTTCGGGGCCTTCCCAGGCAGTGCCTCAGGACACCCACGGGATGAGCCTCTCAGCTTCCAAAGCTCTGAGCTGGGGTGAATGTGCGAGGTATGGACGGCAGGGATGAAGTGGGGCCAGGGACACGAGGTACCTCATGAACACAAGACCGAGCTCGCAACCACGGGCTCCTATGGAGCCCCTTCTTTTAACTGAAAGGGTCTAATTTCAGACGCCCCTGGAATCCTGTTTACAGGATCCTGCGGCTTGCGCAGCACGTGTACGGACACTGCAGGCGTCTCTGAAAGCTTGCACAAGGCTGGCCTCTGGAAGATCCCTCTGATTTCAAACCTCCTAAATCACAACTGTTTAGCAGCATGACTTTTTATACACAGAAAGTTTTGTTTTTCCTGTATTAATCCACTTAAGGGGCTGACTCTGAAGGAAAAATTCCCTCAGGTACAGCTCATCCTCCTCTCAGGCCATGGAGGGGGCTCTGAGTGTTTCCTCCCTGAACTCGGTGAACTGCGTGTGCTTTGCAGTCTACAGACAAACAGGCCATTCAAGCACTCAGTGGCCCTGCAGCTGCTCACGCGCTGTGCAGAGAAAGGCCTCGGGAGAGAGGCACAGAGCTCCTCCATGGACAAAGCCCCACACAGGGTACAACCACCCTCCCTCCCACTGTCTGCCTTGGCTAGCTCTGACATAGATGCTACTGTACCCACTGGATTTCTGCAATTCGGAACCTCAGGCCCCAGTGCGGTTTGTTTTTTCATCTTGGTGATGGCATGGCGACTGTCCAGGTACCTAGCAGTGTCAACAAAGGAAGAATAAAGGAATTAAGGGATCAAAAAAGGGGCGCTCTTTCTTACACCATTTGATTAGTACACACCAAAAGCGCTCGGGAGAGAACGACGGGCACAGTGAACCGTCTAACCGGAAGAAGACAGCTTTACAGTACTACAGAACATAAAAACATCTCACCTTGCCGCCCAGTGCAAAGAGAGCATTCTGAGACAGAGGATCACACAGTCAGTGGCACACCCAGCTGGCGAACACTTGAGGTCTGGAGTTCCCCCCGAACCACATTACAACATCAGCTTTGACACATCTGTAAAACATCTTCTCTGCAGAAACTCAGACCCTGAAGATCAAACCCAGGGAGGCGCCCTCTCCTCAGGCCAGCATCTCTAACTCATTTCCCTCCAAAGACACTCAGTAAAGGCAACACAGTCGACGGGACAGTGCTGCCTCAGCAGTCAAGGGCTCTGGCCCAGCCCAGGGAGCGGGGACTCAGAGCTAAGCTTCTGGGAACCAGTTCAGATAGGCAAGGGAGAAGGGGAAGGAGCAGGTGGCGGCCATAGAGCCTGATAAAATGGAGGAAAGTATTACCTTAGGAATTACCATTCTGAATAATCAGACTCCAGTCTTGCATCGCTGAGACTCCAAGAGCCACGGACACTGGGAAGAACTGCAGTTCCGGAGTGCAGTTCAAGGTTATCAGCCCTTTCCCACTGGCTCTAGATCCCACTCTGCTTGGGTAACTGCAATGATGTCTTTAGTCAGCCACGGCTTTTCTAAGAAGTACAGGGTGATGTGGCAGAATGGGCTGAGCAGGCCCACCAGGTAAAGGACGGTTCTGGCATCAGGACGTGCTGACTCCCCTCTGCTGCCAGGAAGCCAGCAGAAGGGCCTATGCCCATGCATGTAAAGGAAGGCACCAGCTCATTTCCTGCCTGAGGGGCAGCCTCAAGGCTGTGGTGTCAAAAGCCTGGAAGAGCCCAGTCCCTCTGAGATGGGTGCTGGCAGGACTCTGGCCAAGGAGCTGGACTGGAATCCTTCCTGAGCTGTCTATGGCGAGTCAGAGGGGCTGGCCACCACTTCCAGCACACACACGGAGGGCAAGTAACGAAGTAGCCAACCCCTGGAAAGCAGTTTCATTAGTATTATTTTTGTTTTTATTTCCCTCCTTTCAACCTGGTGTTCAGCTCTCAAAGTGGTTCCTGTATATAGTCCTGCTTCCTACAGTTCTGAGAGGGTGGTTCCATCGCAGATGACCAAAGGCTGGACCCCTCGGGCTATAATGTAGACCTTCCAGTCAGGGGCACCGGCATAGCCTTGAAGAAAACAGCAACAGAACAGCACGTGAACGTCAGGGACTGGGCACGCCATGGGCAGGAGCAAAGCCTCGGGGTGTGCCCACAGGCAAAGACAACTCCTGCTGAGGGTGTTTTAGCACTTCCTAGCATCAGGGATCCCATTACCAATCCCCTAGGTAACCTGTCCTCCAGCAGGGGCCACTCTGAACTGCAGCGCGGCATTGCTGCAGTTCAGTGGTTCCCGAAACAGGACGCTCAATGGGGCTAGTGCTGGGCACCTACTCTCAGACCGATCACATCCTTTTCAGCAAGAGACAGGACGGGTCGTGAGGGAGAGAACACACTATCCCATCTTCCTAGTTATCGGTAATGCGGTTTCATTACAGAAGGTCCAGGTTCATCTAAACCTGCATTTCCCGAACTGGATTCTGTAAACATCATGGCCTAGAGGCTATTTCAAAGAAGACGGGTCCCACAGCCAAGTTAGCTTAGTTCCTCCAAGGCTTTTCACCGTCTCTGGTGCACCATACATAACAAGATGGGCACAACAAGATGGGCACGTCCCAAAGCTGGCTAACTCAGAGCCCTACCTGCCAAGGGCCTTCCAAGGGGTTCCTGTCTACCCCCGGGGCCATCGGTGAGCTGAAGAATCATTCAAAGAGCACTGACCGATCTTATTTAAGTAGGCCAGAAAGGTGACCTCAAACCCTTTAACTTCATCGAACATCACTGTGCTCATAGGTAATGACACTATCTTGCACATGAGAATTTTGTTGAGGGTAGATCTCATGTTAAGTGCTTTTATCATGATAAGATTTAAAAACAAAGAAATCTCTTGACTTTTTTGTTTTGTTTTTAAAATTTGCTAGGTGGTGGGAACCAGCAGTTAGTGTAATGGCTATGTCGCTGGACTCCCACGTAGTCGACCGCGGTTTGTGTCCCGGGACCCGGTGGCTTAAAACTCACGCGGGCGCGTGTGCGTGCATGCCCAAGATCCCGAGAGGAGAATGGAGGAGAAGGGATTACAGTGTGACCATCACCCCTGGGGGGTGATTTCTCGCTTTCTGTCTCTCTGTCTCTCTGTCTGTCTGGTGAGTGCACGCACCCTACAGTGAAAACCTCTCCAAAAAAAAAAAAAAAATTGCTAGGTGGTACATGTGTTCACTAGAGAGCAAGCGAGAGAGAAAGTGAGAAAGCAACCCTGATGGGGAATGGTCACGTTGCAATTCCTTCTCCTGATTATTTTCTTCCTTCTGTTTTCTTCCCTTCCTCCTTTGAATGTAAATGACTATAACTCTTTTTTTTCTTTTTTTTGGAGAGGTTTTTGCTATAGGGCGTGTGCGCTCGCCAGACAGACAGTGAGAGACAGAGAGAGAGAAAGCGAGAAATCACTCCCCAATGGGGATGACCACACCGCAATCCCTTCTCCTCCATTCTCCTCTCGGGATCTTGGGCATGCACACACACGCGCCCAGCGTGAATTTAAGTCACCGGGTCAGGGATGCGAACCGCGGTCGACTACATGGGAGTCCAGTGACATAGCCATTACACTAACTGCTGGTCCCAGCACCCTAGGTGTTTTTTAAATCATGTGCGAGACTTGAACCATGCAGTTGGCCACATGGGATCCAACTGCCTGAACCGCCATGATGTTGGCTGTCCACCCCAACCCCCCATTTTTAAACTGAGAGCTCTGAATACAATCTCGCCTTTACTTGCTGATGCAGGAAAGGGTGCAGTGAGCAGTGGGTATCCTGTACAGTGACTGCAGACGCTGTGCCTGATCTGTCATTCTTAACACCTCCAGTCAAGGTGTCTGATGATCTGCAACCCCTCTCGCCTCCAAGATGCACACTGTAACAATAATCATACATGGGACCGGCAGCTGGCATAACGGCTATGTTGCTGAACTCCCATGTAGTCGACTGTGGTTCGAGTCCCAGACCCAGTGGCTTAAACTCACACTGGGCGTGTGTGCATGCGTGCCCAAGATCCTGAGAGGAGAATGGAGGAGAAGGGATTGTGGTGTGGCCACCCCCACAGGGGGGGGTTTCTCGCTTTCTGTATGTCTTTCTGGCAAGCACACGTGCCCTATAGCAAGAACCTCTACAAAAAAAAAAAGAACAATAATCATAGAAATTATTGGTTACAGGGCCATTCTTTTTTTTTTTTTTTTGAAGAGGTTTTTGCTATGGGGTATGTGTGCTTGTCAGAAAGACAGAGAGAGAGAGAGAGAGAGAGAGAAGGTGAAAGTGTAAAATCACTCTTGGGGGATGGCCACGCTACACTTCCTTCTCTTCCAGTCTCAGGATTTGGGGCTCGTGTACAAGTACCCAATATGCATTTCAAGTCCCTGGGTCTGGTACTTGAACTGTGGTCAAACACTTGGGAGTCCAGCACCTTAACCACTATGCTGCCTGCTGGCCCTTTACAGGGCCATTCTTAAGGGTCCGTAAGGCACCAAGCTGCAGTCTGTCCTACGACCACCAGATTACTCTTGGCCATTGCCAGGATGTGCTCCCGTCCTCATTCTTACCATGGCAGCTACGGCCACCGCTTCTGTCTCTGCCACTGCTTCAGGTGCCACTGTTCCTGCCACCCCTCCCTGCCCCCTCTACTCCAACATCTGCTGCCTTCTCTTTAGTCTCCCACCCCTTCGCGTTCTCGTCATGTGCCTGGCCTTCTACAGAAACTGCCAGCACGCTGCTCCTTTCCTTCTGTCAACAACTGAACGGTCACAGCACAGCAGGCATCATGCTCTGGATTTTAGGCTAACAATCTGCACCAGCGTTTGAAGCTCAAAGCTTCGCTGACCACTACCATGCACCTCCGTTTTCTTTTCCCCCAATTCTACAATTGGCATTCTGAATGCTCACGGGAGACAGAAATCTGGAACTTGGATGACTAAGGAGTTTCTGTAGTTGTCTGAACTGTTAGGCAGTTGTAGAACAAAAGACAGAAACTTGTTCAAGCATAGCCACACATTCCGAACCAAATATGCCGTACAGATTTTTGCAATAGTCTCCCCTAGAGTAAGGGTCATCCCCTACAGGAAAATGGGTTCAGAACAATTTCCATACAAAAATCCTCTTTTTTTGGGTAGGAGTTTCCCAAGGGCCAGGCCAGCTGTGCTTCATTATAACTTAATACTTAATTTGTGCACTGTTTTTATTTTTCATTTCTAAATTGAAATCAAAGTTACATAACTTGGAGTAAAGTTCGGCAGAGTTTGTAATCTGTTCTTTACTCCTAAATGAGGTAAGGCATTTTAAGGGATTTGGGGGGGGGTGCCTTCTAAGTAAGTAAAACAAAAAGAAATCAATTGGAAAACCAGTTTGGGCTCTGCCAGACTCCATGCCTCACCCAGGTTTTGTTAGGCAGGAAAAACAAGGTCAATGGTGACACTTGCTGATTTATTCGCTTCTGCCAAGAAAACTCTGTTGTCAAACTGATTGCTCCTGACAGCAGTTGATTCAAACCTGTTTCTTTGGAACAGATTTTTAGGATACAAGGCACAGGACAAGTCATGGTTGGGAAAACATGGGGCCAGAATCAAGGGTGTCACGTGAAACTGGAGCTGGCTGGGGGACCTGCATGGAAGGTACCATTTCCTAGGCTGACTTTACATCCGCTGCTTTACGCTGGGTCTATGAAGGGCTTCCTCTCACCTTGACCTGTCCCTCCGCAGGCTTGACTGTGTTGAAGCACACTGAAGACCTGAGGTTTTCAGGACCTTTGGATGGCTGCTTCCCTTCTCTGGGTCTCAACCTCTTCACTTGCCTAACAAGGGACTGGTCTAACTATTTTTCAGATCCCTTCAAACTTGAAGTTTCTACAACCAGTGCACGTGCATTCTACATGTGAGATGTATAAGACACCCTGCTAATTTTCTCATTAGTTGTTCCATTTCTAATTATAAATATTGAACCTATTAGTACAAGAATATTATTTTTGACTCTACTTGATAGATTCTTTGTGAAGGCAGATTTGATTCTTTGAATATTGCTGAGTTACAATGAAAAAGATCCCACAGCTGACCCTGCCCTGGGGGCCTACATACCAATGTCCCCTGCTTCTATTGGCATGGCCACGGACTGACAGTGTCTTCGGCACTGGAAGGGAGGGATGAGTTGCAACATGGCTTCGCCGCTGCCAATGGTAAATAGGTCGTGCATCTCATGCATCTGAAGGAAAGAGGAAGGAAAAGGAAAGGAAAGAAACTTGAGGGGATTAGTACGTAAAAATCCCTACCCATATGGCTGAGTTTCCAAGTCACAAAAGAGAGGAAAATGGAACCAATCACAAAAATTACAATGTATATCTAAAAGATGAAAACAATTTCTTCTGAGTATGACATCCCCTTGTACTGAGATCAGGATAAAAAGCTCTTCTGTGGGCTCCCCTAATGAGATACTGTGCGAGTTAGTGGGCAACACCCCTAACAGTCTCAGGCGAGATTTTGCATGAACTTCACAATTTCCAATTATTTCTAATCACTACACAAAGCAGGTTTTAGCAAAGGCCAGCACATGGTGGTCTAAGATTTCTGCCTTGATCCAGATTTTTTAGATAAATAAGTAGTCTGCATATCTTTGGGCACTTTTCCATGGAGGATTATTTCTTACTACCAGGGTTCTGATAAAAATTGTGCAGCCGCAAGTTCAAGTTTACAATATCCAGCAAGATGCAGGAGAGGAGCTATGTCGTGATATTAAAAACTAATGACAGTGGGGCCAGCAGGTGGTGTGGTGAGTAAAGGCGCTAGATCCCCACATGGCTGACAGCAGTTCGAGTCCCAGAGGCTTGCTCTCTCTCTTCCCTTTCTCTCTCTGGTCAAATTAAAAATAACAACACATGGTATTAAATAAATAAATAATTCTTAAAAACAAAAACAAAAACAAAACTAATGACAGTAAGACTAGCCCTGAATTTGAAAACTAAGGAGAGAAACAAAATGCACACCTGCACAAAGAGCTACTGCTAACCACAGGCACAGTGTGCCCCGCTGTGTGCCAGAGGAATGGGGGCCCCAGAGATGGGGTTCGGACAAGACAGGCAGTAGGACGAAGGGAGTGTCTTCAGTTTTTTCCTTCTCAAACTCAGTGGTGAGAAGCCTGCTAGGGCCTCCCCTGTCTCTCCTCCTCCTACCTCCTGCCTTCCAGAGAAATGCACGTGTATATTGGGGAACAGAAGTCTGACTCCTTGAGTCACGACCTGGTTTTCTCTTTACTACTTGGATCTCCAAGTCTTAGGTTTGGGCAGGATCTTCTCCTGTCTTCAACCCTGGCCTCTCAGCTGCTCCCCTAGCCCTGCCACAGTTCCATTTTCATGACAACACTAAAGCCACTTCGGCAGCTACCGTGGTGACAGGAAGAGCCCTGGTGTCTTGAACTGGGCTGCAGAGAACTGGTACTAGCACTGACAAAAGTTCTGACATACATAGTCTTGAAAAACAGCCCAGAAGGGACCAGCAGTTAGTGTAATGGTTATGTCGCTGGACTCCCACATAGTCGAAGATGGTATGAGTCCCGGACCCGGCGGCTTAAACTCATGCCGGGCGCGTGTGCGTGCATACCCAAGATCCCGAGAGGAGAATGGAGGAGAAGGGATTGCGGCGTGGCTATCTCCCCGGGAGATGATTTCTCACTTTCTGTCTCTGTCTTTCTGGCGAGCGCACACGCCCTATAGCAAAAAAAACCTCTCCAAAAAAAAAAGTCCAGAAGACCAAAAAGAAATGGGTATATCCCTCTTTCACAGAGGCCTGAGAGGGAGCAGGATCATGTTCCTTAAACCAGGGATAAGCGAAAAAGAAACAGACACGGTGTTGCACTGGGGAGTTTTGGGACTGCCCCTAGACCTCTTTGCCTCTTCCCAGAGTACCTTTTAACAACCGAGTCCCCACTTTTTATTTGCTATTCTGGGGCTGTCTGGGACCCTGGGCCCGGGGATGTGGACCCCAGGGTGCAATAACGAGGGTAGGGAGGAACCAGCAGTTTGCATAATGGCTATGTCACTGAACTCCCATGTAGCTGACCACGGTTTGAGTCCTGGACCTGGTGGCTTAAACTCACACCGGGCGCGTGTGCGTGTGTGCTCAAGATCCCAAGAGGAGAATGGAGGAGAAGGGACTGCAGCATGGCCATCCCCTCTGGGGGGTGATTCCTCACTTTCTATCTCTCTTTCTGGCGAGAACACATACCCTACAGCAAAAAAAAAAAAAAAAAAAACCTCTCCCAAAAAATAAATAAATAAATAACGAGGCTAGGGAGAAAGGAGAGCTTGGGTCAGGGTGGGAAGAGACACTCTAAGAAACCAGACATGGGACTTTGCACATTTGGGCCACTCCCCTTCCCAAAACACCCTGGAGAACCAGAGCATTTGAGAAACGCTATTTACTCTCTCGGCTGGGCCCACTGCTGTTCAGGAGGCTGGTGCGACGCACTGCAGTGTTCCAGTGGGAGACTGTGATAAAGACGAAGGCCCTCGCCCATCATTATATCATAATTATGAATCATACAAGGGCCGAGTTCTGACGGGGGACAGCAGGATGCAGCACCTCCACCCGACTGCTGGCAGGCAGCAGCTCTTACTTCTAGACACAACGACTGTTTTTATAGGCACTTAAATTCCTTTAATACAATTCAGCAAATTTGGAGCCAGATTATAGTATCAAGAGGTTGAAGCCACAACCCAGGGTTGGTAGAGGGTCATACCTTGAGAAATTTACATTTTTTATGAAGAAAAATTCATCCTTTTACTTTTTCCAAATTTGATCCAGGCTCAAAAACCTTCCCCGCAATTCAGAGAAAAGGAAACAGACCCGCCGTAGCACCCATTCCCTGTGCTACGAGCCGAAGGTATACCGGCTCTGGGCACTTGGTCCCAGACTGGGGTGAAAAGCCAGGGGTGCAGAGTAGGCCCTTCCACCCCAGCTGGGCTGCCTGCCTGGGCATGTGCCTGTCAATCCTCCTTCCTCGCCTTGCAGCTCCCTGCCTTGGTTTTCCTGGGAAAAGCCAACCTGGGAGCTTGCTCTGTGTCTTTGGGCAAATCGCTTCATCTCTTTGGGGCTCAGTCTCCTTACCCCACAAAACGAAGAAGCTGGACGACTGTTCATTTCCATACTGCTCACTGATAGCTTGCCCCCCTTCTAACTTCAGGCAGGGAAGTCTGAGGTCTGTATGCTCAAGTCCCTTCAGGTTTTAGGGCTCCACCTTAACAGAGAACACCTTAACAGCTGGCTTGCCCCCAGATATTTAGGGAGGAAACAGATCTGTGAGGTTTCTAGACATCTCAGAGATAGGAGATATGCCTTCCTAGCAGGGTGGGCCAGCGAAGGTCTCCTGACCAGTGGCAGCACACGGAAACTTTAGATTATGTGGGTGTCTCTTCAGTCTCCTTGACTGTGACATCAGTTCAGGTCCCCAAGAATGAAAATTCTAGACCCAAGTCATTTCAAAATTTCCTACCTTACTCCCCACCACAGGTTCTGGGTGGAGAAGAGAGCACTTTTTTAAGGAGGCGTCTTTCGGAAACGGTAAGCGGGTGAAAACAGGAAAAAGCTCCCGCAGAATTTGTGATCTGTTCAGCGGTCTTCTCCTGTAGAGATTGAAGCAGAACAAAGCCACTGAACTGGGCACGCTGGCCGATCCCCAGGATGCGTGGAGAGCCACGCAAACGCAGAGGCGCTGTGAGAGGTGGGCCAAGGGGGCGCTTTAGCATGCTATCATGTACTAGTCCCTGCAACGGTCATGCCCCACCAATTACAGTGTTCACGCAGACATAAACTCCGCAGCCACGATTTGTACGTGTGGGCGGAGTGTTTCTCTAATCCAGCTCAAACGACATATAGAGGAAGCAAAGAAATAACGTATTCATCCCATCTTGGAAAAGTGGGGGGGGGCACAGAAGGGGGGACAGAAAACGTGACCTTTCCTCTGAGAGCTAAATGCAGCAGGAAGCCTCATTAGCTTGTTAAAATGGGCACTCTATCATGCAAATAAATGGCATTTTTTTAAAGAATTGTTTTGTTTAACTTTATTTTAATTTGATCAGAGGGAGACAGAGTGAAAGAGAAAGAGGGAGAGGGAAAGTGAGAAAGCAAGTTGCCAGGTCCAGGACTTGAACCGTGGTCGACCATGTGGGAGTCCAGCACTCTTAACCACCACGCCACCTGCTGGCCCTAGATGACACATTTTAAGAAAAGTGGAAGCATTAAGAAATTATCTGACAAAAAGCCTGAAAAAGGAATTTTAATTTTCTCTCTGAATGGCTCTTTTTTTAAAAAAGAATTATTTTACTTACTTTATTAATTTATTTACTTATTTTTTAATTTGACCAGAGGGAATAGAGTGAAAGAGTGAGAGAGAAAGTGAGAAAGCAAGAAACCCAGGTCCAGGACTCGAACTGCAGTTGGCCATATGGGAGCCCCAGCGCCCTTAACACCACACCGCCTGCTGGCCCCATCTCTTTGAATGGTTCTAGGAAGAGAATGGGCTTTCCTTTTCTTACTAGAAAGAAACCTTAGCTTCAAGGAATGGCCAGTGTCTTCTGTAGGACACAGGAAGAAACAGAAAGATGAGCCTGGGTTTTAATCCAGGCTGTGTGGCCTTGGGCAAGTTAATCTTTCTGATTGCCGCTCTTCTAATGTGAAAAATGACAGCCATTCCTATTTCCCAGAGCTACTTTGAGTGTTACCAATGAGCAAGAGGCACTAAACACCATGGCACGGTCGTCCGAACAAACAAGTGCCAAGAAATGCAGTTCTCAGAAAAGGCCTGTGGCCTAATAACTGGTTAAGGGAGCCAAGTCCTACATGACAACCAACCAAGTCAAGTCCTGGACCCAGCAGTTCGAAAACCATGCTGGGTACGGGAACGTGTGTACGTGTGTCCCAGATCCGACCATGATGTACAAACAGGGAGGAAGCACTGCCTGTGGCCATGCCCCATGATCTCTCTCTCTGGCTAGTGCACATGCCCTCTTCAAAATGAAAAGGGAAAAAAAGAAGAAATGCAGTTCTCCTTCTACTCTTCGTTCTCTTCAGTGCTCCATGCTCAGGACCCACTCAACGTGAACTCCAGTGCTAAAGACATACTTAGAAATAACTTGTGATCCCACTAGGCAGTCTCAGTGCTCCCCACAGTGACGCTCCTCCTTCTGACACATTCCTCTCCTTTCTCTCTCACAGGGCCAGCAGGTGTCATAGAGGCTAAGGTCGCTGGATCCCATAGGGCCGACTCCATGGTTTGAGTTCCAGACCCGGCAACTTGAAAATCACGCCAGGCATGTGTGCATGTGTGCCCCAAATTCTAAGAGGAGCATGGAGGAGAAGGTACTGCGGTGGGGCCATCCTCCTGGGGGAGGGGTGTGAGTCTCACTTTCTTGCTCCTTTTCCTCTCTCTCTCTGGTGAGCGCATGCTTCCTTATAGCAAAACTAAAACGAAAGACAGTGAGCTCCTACCATTCAGCAGTACGTCAAGGGTGTGCAGTGTCATGTGCTGACAGTGCCAGCACGGGCAGGGTCTCCGTGAACGCTGTCACTGTTCTGGTATCTGGTCTGCCCCTTCGTACACACCTGCAAGTGCCCTTCTCACACTTACCAGGGATAAGCAAACGGGAACCACCGTTCAGGAAAGCAGCGCCACCACTTGGTGAAAAACCCTTCAGGGAAGCCTTCTATTGCCTCAGGGTACTGGCACAAAAAATGCTGAATCTCCTCGGACAACAGGGGCTGTCCCGTCTTGGCATGGCAGAAACGGAAAACGAAACAGAGAGTTACTTATCTGAATGTGCAGAGCCGGATCTGGCCTTTAAACAGGTTATGGCTCAGTGGGAGACTCAGGCTTCTTGCCTACCTTAATCACCAGAGGATGGAGGTGTTCGAATTTCTCTGGGGCATCTTCTAAGAGCATGACCTTGAGGGGCAATTTCTGGGCACAGCCGGTGCAGTTGGCAGGGATGGGCTCTGACTCATTCTGCTCACAGTCGTTTGTCCCCCAGGGGTCAAAGTCTGAGAGAGAAAGGTATGGAAAAGGCAGATTGAGGACCGGCACCGTTAGTGAGCCCAGACGGGTCAGCAACGAGTGCAGAGGAAAGACAGCATCATTTTTAACCAAGGGCGAGAAGCCCTGGAGACCTGGAAAGGTACAAGTGACATTAAGTAGCCTCGAGGCTGGCAGGTGGCATGGTGGTTGGGGTGCTGGACTTCCCTAAGGCCAATCACGGTTCAAGTCCTGGACCTGGTGGCTTGCTTTCTCACTTTCCATCTCTCTCTCTCTGTCTCTCTGGTGAGCACATGTGTCCTATAACAATAACAATAATGATGATGATGATAATAATAAATTAAATTAAATTAAATTAAAAAAAAGAAATCAAGTAGCCTCTGAAGTAGTAGTAAAGGGTCCAGGGATAAGGAATGGATACTTTAATGTATACTTTAATTTCATTTATTAATTTTTTTAAATGTGACCAGACAGAGACAAAGAGATGGGGCTAGGGGGTGAGAAAGCAAGCCACCAGGTCTGAGACTTGAACTACAGTCGGCCACGTGGGACCCCCAAACCCCGACCCCCCCTGCCGGCACCTCTGTATACTTTTTTAAACTTTGTAGAAAATATCTTTTAACATATATGCAGGGTCTTCAAAAAGCTCATGAAACAAAAGCTATGCAGAAATTTCAAAATTTTTATACCAATATAAACTTATTCTTTAATTCCTTTTTTCCATGAACTTTCTGAAATAACCTCATACAAAGTTCTTATGTTCCCTCAACAAATAAAGTAAAATAGCTGGAGAGAATCTCTGGCAATGTGGGGTTGAAGATGTACTTCTCTCAACGTCCTCTATCCTGTGACCCACGCCTGAAATGTCTAGAGCAGATGGGAAGGGGGGTCCCGCCATCTCTGCTGGGCCCAACACGGGTCTTCTTACACCCTCTGGGTGTGCATCTGGGCCCTTGTTCACGAGGACAAGTAGGGTCAGGACAGCTCTGGAAAGGGGAAGAAGAAGGGCACAGGAGAGAGAGGGGATGGGGAGGGAAGACAGGGCCTCCAAGGGCCACCTAGGGAACAACGTGAGCTGCATCTGCCCTGAGGCAGTGGCCCGTGCCAGCGTAGCTGAGCAAGCACCGTTTCTACCCCACTCGACCACAGGCTGGGCAGAAATGGAAGAGCCCACCCCGGTGACGGAGCGCGAGCCGGCCCCCGACGCCCGCGCC